TCTCTTCTGATTGCATGTGAAAGACAATTGGCATGAAATAAACTACGGCCATTTTCACAATGTACGGGACACTGCTTACAGCACCATAAGGGCATTCAGAAAAATGTTTAGGTTGTGCCAATGTATAGCCTTCCAAATGAATTTTTACCATGTGATTTCATACAGACAGAAAAACTGAGTTGGTTCCCATGTGTGAATTTTTCTTCAGTTGTATACTTCTGAACGTAACTACAAGGTCCCACTAAAAATCTGTTGCCAATGTTTTTTTTTAATAATGCTGCCTTTCTCTATCGCATGTAACTATTTGCAACCAGTCTGTGGCTTCTGAGGAAAAATATATAAAGATGAAGAATGGTATTTTGACAAATATGACCAAATAGGCTGGCAGAAAAAGCATGTGATATATCATATATTTTAACTTAAATATATGATGTGTGGTGAGATGTTACATTTTGTCTGTTTGGTATCTTCCAAAAATACAATAATCAGGAAGAAATGAATTATGCTAGCTCTCATATATTAATAAAACAAATGTACTTAATAAGGATGCCAAGAAAGAGAAAAAAAGTGCACAACAATTGTTAGTATCATTAAAGAAACTGTTATAAAAAGATATTATATAAGCTTACACCATCAAAAAACAATATAAATAGAAGGAAAAACAAAACTGGAAAAGACCAAATGAGGGTAACATCGAGACTTCCATTTGTGCTATTGGACTTCCCCCTTTCTCTCCTCTCCCCTGTATTTGCCACACCTTTCAAACTTCCTCTAGCGTCCATCTAAGCCCCTGGAGCAGATGAGGGTACACAGAGAGCTGAAGGGAGGAGGGCAACTCCATTCTGCTAGAGAATAATCACAAATGTATACAGGCCCTTTGTAACTAAGTATGCAATATTATACACATTTATTATGTGTATCCCACATTTTCCTCTTGCACCAGGCAACTTACATGTTCATCATTTTCATTTTATTTATACAAGAATAACCCTGTAAAATAGGCTAGGCTGAGAATTAGCGACTGGCCTGAGTTACCCAGTAAGCCAGCTTCATGGCTGACTGCACACTAGACCCCAGATCTTCTGAGTCCCAGTCCAGCACTCTGCCCACCATGCCACACTGTAGGACTCTTTTTCAGTCTAAAAATGCATGGCATAAACAGCCATATTTACATGTTACATCTCTTTAAACATTTCTCTACCGATCAAGCACATAACACAGGTTATGAAGTTACTTCAGATCATCAAAAGTAACACTGTAAGCCCAAAGGGATCAATGCCACAGATGCAACAGCACTGTCTGATGAGAGTCAGCTAATCCAGCCGTCAGCCAGTCGGGTGGGTAGTCTGTAGTTGCAGGCTATATGATGACAAAGAACTGTCTAACTTTAATTTTTGTATTGCTATCATTGTTTTAGAAATTTCATAAATTTAGTAAATTGTTGCATTTATTGCCTCATGTAGCATTTTGAACTCTTGAACTTGTTTTACATTTTATTGTATTTTGTAAACCTCCCTGAGAACCTTTCATGGCTAAGTGGTGGTATAGAATTTAGTTTCATAATGATTGCAATAACAATAATCCCTTCAGTACCTTCTCACATTTATACTGCATCACCAAGTTCTTTGTGTAACCCATTTTCACTTCAGCAGAACTCACAGCAATGGAAAACACACAGATTATGCCCCCCCAAACACCCTAACCTAATATTGTCAAAGCAAAATATAACCCAAGGGCTTATGAGTGTTAGAGCTCAAAGAGTTCCTTCATTAAACCTTGTTTAGTTGCAGAATGAATTTTCTGTATTTGAGAAATTCAGAGAAGAATCACCCATGCACAATATCCATAGTAAAAATGTAAAAAATAAAGGTGATCAGACTCGTCTGATGCATCAGAAGAAAAAGGTTTCTGGCAAATCCATAAGATCTAAGAAATAAGATGACTGTAAGGACACTGAGGAAATAAGGCCTACTCAGTTTTACAAAAACAAATTGGGCAAGAATACTTCTGCAGAGAAGGATACTTCAACATTAAAGAAAGGAATTAAATATAGGACTTCTCAAGGGTAAGTAGTAAGCCAAGGGGAAGGTAAGAAAATAAGCAGCACAAAGAGTAATGAGCAAACCCCTGGCTTGCCTGGTGTAAGAGTAATCTGTAAAAACATCACCAAGAACACATACTAAGATTATCAAAAGATGCAATATTTAAAACTGTATTTATATGAAAGCTCTCCTTGTAAGATCAGACTTTTGAAAAGTTTCCACCTACATGTTTTTGATAGCATTCCTCTTGGAATACAGCTTGTTTATCAATGATGAATAACAATTTCGTTTCAGTGGATATACTACTAGACTGTACCATGTGACCCACCATGAAACAGGCAGGTGTATATCGGTAGGCAATCTGGCTTGCTTAACTGAAAAGTTTGATTGCAACAACTAAAATAGAGTACATTTTCTCAGAGAGTATTGGAAAGACTAAAAAAATACAAATGAGAAACACACAAATGTATCTTTAATTATACTTGATGGCTTTCAGTTCCCAAGCCTCACAGCACATGCTTACCACATACAGCAGGCCTGCACTTGCGGCTGACAGTCCACCAGCCATCACCGCAACCCATCAAGGTGCCTGACAACCTCCCCCCTCCCACTCTCCCTCTGCTATCTTTTCCATGTCTAAATGGTAGTGAAAACAGATAGTCCTTTCTACTGGTTGAATGGTATGGCTGGTGAATGCTTGCCACTTAGTGGATCACCAGTTAAGCAGGCCTTAACATGACCATAATGCTTCACCAAATTGCTCTTTTTGAATATCCTACACAATGTAGCATTGTTATAAAAGGGTATAATAGTGTATGTTATGTCACAGTTTGGAAACAATTGTGCTAAATGTTGTTATGAAAGGAAATATGTCCAATACTCTTATAAGCAAAGAGGTGTGAATACACAGGGCTAAGTATATACCTAAGGACCGCTTCACATATATAACATATGCATTTGGGCCCCCAAAATGCATGGAATCAATTCATCTAACTTGCTCAAAGGATTTCAAAAGAACTTACACCCAGTATTCAATGGCTTGTGCCAGTTTATTAAATCTCCTTAATGAAAGTAGGAACACATGAATTAGACTTAAGTCCTAACAAAATAAATTGGACCTTTGGACAGTAAATGCTCTCTTAAATGTGCTCACTACTTATATTTTCCAACTTGCAACCTTTGTTCATCCTACTTCATACAATTCAAACTGTTTTAGAAAACAATTCCTTGTATAAATATAGTTTACAATGGAAAGCCTCAAATATTTTGTTTAGCTTTTCTATGTAGCTATTCCTAGGGATGTTAATGCCTGGAAAAAAAGAAGAAAAGGAGATGGAGCTGATAGCACAGAATGCTTTTAATTTTTCCATTTCTCCCTCCTCCCCACACTCATGTTTGGAAAATTTGGGTGGTTCTTAAGCTTTTTGGTCCCCCACCCCAAAAAACCCTTCACACATTTAGTTATTCTACCCAGAAGGAAAAATAGCTACATTAGGTACATTCAGCTACATTCAAAGTTATCTAAGTCAAACCCTACTATTAGTCAGAGGAAGAACTAAAAATGCCACTAAGCATGAGAACAGATGATGACCTGTTCTAAAGTTTCCACTGGTGAATGTATGTATTCATACTGCTACAGATTTTTCTGGCACTAAGACAAACACCTGGACCAAATCCCTTAATGTAGCAGGGATTCCAACTGCTCACTGCAGTCTGTGGGTCTCTGTAAAAAGGTAACAAACAGCAGACATAGTTCATGTACCGAGACGGTAGGAACATGCTTTGAGCTCAACTATGAACTTCTTCAGAATCATAGAGGATGTCACTAAAATTATTTCCTCGAACAGTTGGAAAAAGCATACTGCACTCCCCCCCCCCGCCATAGCTGTCTTCTCTCAAATATAAAGTCAGCACATTGTGATGTTCTGCTTTCTTTTATTTATTTCATTTATTTTACCCATTACAAATCATTCCAGTGGTAGGAGTATCACAACAGTAGTAGAAGCCCCAGATACAATCTTTCTTTTTTCTCAGGGTGCATTTCTCAGCGTGCATTTTCTATGCCGTAGGCACAACATGGGAAGAGGTATTATGTTCACTGGAGTCCCTCTAGCTACGTCCTCATCCACTCAGGTAACAGTGCTTACAGGTAACAGATAGGAAACGTGCGGCATACTCCTGTGCATCATCTGTTTTTGCTACATCCTCTCTCCCTTGACTGTATCATGAACTTATATTAACTCCAGCCACTTTTCCACCCCCTATTTACTTTCCCTTCCCTATGCTTTCCATTCCTGAGAGTCCGAGCCAGATGTGATCTACCCAGAATCCCACAAAACTCTCAAACCACAGTGCTTCTTCTACACACACACACACACACAATGGCACCACACACCTTCTCCTCCCCCAAGCACGCCAACATCCAGATAATGCACATTCCATACTCCCACTACGAAGCACACACCCTCCTTGTCCTCACAGACACACAAGCACCCAATCCCACCCACGCAGCCCGGTAACCACACGCCCTCCTCGACCAACGCGACTGAGGCACAGGGAGAGCTTTCGCCTCTTCTCGCAGCCCCATCGCCGTTCCCCCGACACAGGCGAGAGCAGCGATCCCCCTTCCCCTCCTGAGAGCCCCGCAGTTGCGCGTCCCCTCACGGACGGACGGACGGACGGACGGGCCAGCCGGCCGGCCGGCCCTCACCCGTACACCCAAGAAAAGAGATCCGCCGCAAAGTCCTTTCTCTCGCACACCGCCAGTCCACCAACAATCCGTCCGCCCCTTCGCCTCGCGGCCAGCCCTTCGCAGCAGCACACAGCCCACGTCGCCGTCGCCCTGCGCCCGCGGGACGGCTGCGGCCGCCGCCGCCTGTGCCGCTTTCGGGGCGGGGGCAACAGCAACAACATCCCCTGCGCCGACTGCGCACCCGGCGCCGGCTCTCCTCGCTTTACCTCAGAGCAGTGCCCCGGGCGCGCGCTGAACCAGCTGGGATCCCTTCCTCCTCCTCGTCCACGCTCTTCATCCTCCCTCGGCTGATGATGTTGCCGCCGTATCCGAAGGGCAGCGGCGGCCCAAACAGTCCCCGCCTCACACAATGCGAAGCAGCCCCACACTGGAGGAACCCGCCGCCGTCAACTGTGCCTCGAGCCTGCCCTCCTCCTCCTCCTCTTCTCCTCCTCCTCCCCCCACGCCCTCTCCTCGCGCCCCTAACGCGCGCTCGGGGAGAACATAGCAACGCATGCGCGCTGAAAAGCTTCATGGGAAACGTAGTTCACCAGCGCTCGGGTTCTTTTTGCAGGGTGACAGATGGATGGTAACTCTTCTCTCTTCCTCCCTCGCTCCGCTTTGCTCAATCTTCGTCTTGTTTTGTTGTGAAGAGTCTTAATTCAAAGGAATCGTTTCGTTTCTTCAAGAATAGAGCGATGAAACAAGAACTCTGTTTAGAGAGATTGTTATGCAATACTACATAAGAGTTAGGAACAGACCTTCCCCTCAGGAAGGGGAATTAGCTCAAATGGTAGAGCGCTCGCTTAGCATGCGAGAGGTAGCGGGATCGATGCCCGCATTCTCCAAAATCATTTTTTTTCCTCGTTCTAATCTAGGTGCTGTAGGAAGAAACTGAAGAAAAGTTGTTTACTAATAATTCATCATTCTGAAAAATCTAAAGTGCCCCTACTTGAACTTTGCTCCACTAAAAAGCATCAGCGCTTCAGAACAGGAAAGAAGGCCATTTGCTTTCTAAAATAAAGTGAAAGAAATGAGGAAATAAATCTAGGTCTTAGTTTTCGTATTAATCCTTGTACATAAAGTATCACCTTGCCAGAACACATAAGTACAAAGAATTATTTGTGCGTGGTTTAATTTTTTGTTGTTTAATCTATCTAGTTAACAAGCATAAAAACAAGGAGAAGAATAAAAAGCAAAAAAGAGAACGAATTATCAAAGACGAGTATGAATTCCTTCATTCCAAACGAAGTCCTCTGCATATTTAGCGGGGGGGGGGGAGTCCTGCAACTCCCCACATCCCTCAGCCCTCACAATTGATTGGGAAATGCTAGAGGTTGCAGGACCTTGTTCTGTCTAAACATGCACACGATGGCACATCCTGTGATTTATCCAGATAACATAAAGAACTATTGCTGCTCGAATCACCGTAAAAGCTATCTCAGACTTATTGTCACAAAGAAATACAGATGAAGATCATCCGTCAAATATAACATAAAGAACTATTGCTGCTCGAATCACCGTAAAAGCTATCTCAGACTTATTGTCACAAAGAAATACAGATGAAGATCATCCGTCAAATATAAGGGCTGCATCCAAGTTTGAGTACCGATACTGCCTGCTTCATAATATATATCTCAACTGCCAGTGGTTTATAGCCGGTCATTCCTCATGATTTCTTCTGAGAATTATTTAGAATTGGCCAATCATAGGATTTTGGAAAAGAGGCGTTCAAGATTCAAAGTTCCACATTGATGAGGTGTATCTAGGGCGCCCTCTACTGCATAACATAACAATGTTTATGTAGGCATGGGGTGCACCTAGAGAGGAAAATGGGGCTACGATTCCGGTTCTTAGCTGAGTAGGCCTTGCACCAAATGCAATGTCTAGAGACTGCAGCCAGACACAGTATATATAGGAAAAGCCTTCTTATTCTTAAATTATGTGTAGCCCAAACTGATATTGAATGCCTCTAGTATGGGTGAGCCCACCACCTATGTATCTAGGCAGCTGGTTCCACTGTCCTATCGCTCTGACAGTGAGGAAGCTTGAAGAAAGAACTCCTCTCTAAATAATAGTGCTGAAATGAGAAAGATAAGGTCAACCAGAATGAATTGTTGTGTGGAAGGACTGTGCACTCATGTTTACATACAGATATATATTACATACGGACAGTATTACGTCACAGATATATATTACATACAGACAGTATTAACTCCATTCTGTCAGTGTCTTAGTGCTCCAAGAGAAGTGAAGGATACTTCTACACAGTTCTGCAGTCTCTTTGGTGCCCTTAGAGACAGAGACTCATGAAGTTCACATTTGAGGTTTGGCCAGGAGAAGAAATAATTTGTAGCCCACTTGCTGATAACACTTTGGGTGGCATTTGCAGCAGCTACTAAAACTTAGTTTGTATAATAAACAATAAAATTCATTGGGCACCTTCTGCCTGTGGTGTTTGTTTCCAGTGTGGGGCATAAACTGCATGGGGACTCAGCTGACATGGGAAGACTGGCTTCTGGGAGAGGTTGCCAAGTCCAGGGAATCCTCATGGTATCTCCCACCTCTCCCCTGCCTCTTCCTCAAACCTGCAAGCTGGGGGATGGGGCTTTGAGGAGGTGCCCATGGAAGGTTTGGGAACCTGCACTGACTGGATTAGGCCCTCAGGCCAGAGGTTGCCTTCTCCTGCAGTAAATATTTGGCTGATGGACTGACTAACAAATGAAAGGCCTTCAATTGCTTTACCTTAGTGTAGCCCCCAGGCCTGTAGTCCCCTGGAATACTCTTTTTGACAATCATGTGTAGTCCAAGCTGTGGCCATTCCATTGTCCCAAGCTTGTAGCCCAAAGCCAGGCTGTTCCAGAGTTTTCCAATATTATTGAATATTTCAATATTCCTGTTTGCACAACATCAGTGATTCCCAACAGGCTAGGCAATCCAGGTGTACCACTCCTATTCATACATGTATTTGTTCTGCAGGGGACTTTTCTCCAGTATTACACACAACACTTAATTTCATACCAACCTAGGAGTCAGAGTAATCATTCCAAAAGTTCCACTGTCTAATCCCAGATGGGTAGGCAAAATTTTGTGGCTACTTCATCCTGAGAGAATGGCATTCTACACATGCTCCAAGATGCTTTCTTCTTTGCCATTCCTTCACATATCCCTTGGCATTTATAGCAGTTTCAGAGCTCGAGCCTACATTATTGACTCAAAGGAGGTCCTTGCTAGTAGAAAAGCAAACTTGGACTGGAACTCAGGACATTCCAAATCTATTGCTTAATCAACTAATATGTTTAGAATCGATTGTGCAAACCTAGACATGCCTACTTAGAAGTGCCACTGTGTTCTATGAGGCTCCCTAGTAAATGGGTATCAGATGGCAACCTAAGTGACAAGTTATTTATATATACTTAGCTAGGAGAAAGTTCCATTGGGCATAATGGAGCTCACTTTTGAGTAGACATGTATGAGGTTGCTGTAAACCCTATGCATATTTATTTAACTGTGCACAAACTCCATTCAGGTTTACTTTGGATTAAGCATGCATACGATTGTGCTGTCAATTTTCTTTAATTTGGTGATAGCCCTAGTCAATAAGTATGTCCATAGCTAAGTACAGCTTTTTGTTTCATTCTATTACATCTCTTGTCTCTTCTGACACTCCCATAGATAATAACAAACATCCATAAATTGCACATGGATTTTGTATGACTGAGTCATGTCAATTTTATCTGGATCTTTCTGGAAGAAGCCATGTGAAGCACATCACAATCCATGCACTCTTTGGAATATTGTTGTTGACCGTAGCTTTGAGCTAAGTTTCCTGCAACCTAAGTTTCCTTCCAATCATAGTTAGCCATGTACGACTACACAGGCAGAAATACAAGTAACACCTAGAATGGAGAGACCCTATTCCTTCATCCTCATTCTGTCACAGCCAAAATTCCAATAACAAAATTCCAGTAACATTTTTGGAAGGTGGGGAGCAGCTGCTGTGCAAAGCATTGCAACAAAAGAAACACCCTGTCTTCTTGAGCCAATTTTTCAAAGGTCAACAAGGAACACTAGAGCAATCACAAAGCTCTTTTAATTTTTCTGGCACTAGCCTCCTTTCTGTTTTCTTTGCTTATCTCTTGCAAATATTTTCAAACCAACAGAAGTCAGGGAAACATTTTTTCCTGGCAAAATCTCTTTAGCTTGTTTTTATGCTGATGCTCAAAATGCAATCCAGAGAAGAGATTTGCCTACGTCTGTTTTTTAAGTGTTCATACAACATTTTAAAACACCCTCCTCCTTCAGGATTCCTTTACAGCTCATACATAATTCATCTTTCTTGGGAAATCTTGAAAAATGCTGCAATGACCATATGTCATTCACTTCACTGGCAACATCATTCTAGAAAATTTCTGTTCTAGAAATCAAATATAGTCTAATAGCAAGAAGAACCAAGGCTGCTGTTTCATTGTAAAGCTGTGTTAAAGCCATCCTCTGCAAATTAATATCTGTGAAATCTTATGGAAAGGCTCTAATACTCTGCAGTGACTGTGAGTACAATAAATAGAATCAGGGATTAAAATAAGGTGTGTGCTCAACTTTTCCACTGAACTTCTTCCATTTGATGTGTTCTGATGTTTCTATGACTGCTGCAGGGATCCCCACTGTTTTTGGGATAGTGGGCTCATTTAGAAGTTTGAGCATTAAGGATGATCTCAGAAATGGCTACCATGGTTGCTGGGAAAGGGGATAGAACTTATTGTAAAGAGGCAAAGATCATATTAATATCACCATTATGCAACAGAGAGAGCAGTTTGGTGCTACTTTCCCCAATATTTTATGTAAATAGTATGTACAAATCTTTTTTTCTTGTGGTCTATTAATGTTCATGATTCCACTCCTCCCTCTTCAAAAGCAATCTGGACTTCAGTCTAGTCCAGATGGCCACAACCGTCTGCAGTTGGAATATTATGGGCATCATATGCAGGATAAAAGCAGGGTAGATGCTTAGATGATCATCTCTTGGAGCACAAGGGAAGAAGACTGAGGTACAGCCAGAATACTTTGCATCCTGAGGCACCTGCCTCCTCCCCTCCCTGCCCGCCCAGGAATACCCACTCAATCCCATCTCTGAGGTGAGGTTGCTCTTGCGAGCTCAGAGATGCAACTGGTGCGGTTCTTTCTGTGTCAGCTATGGAACGGGAGGGTAATCTGAGTACAGAGACCCAGCTACGAGATTGGAGCTATTTTCTGAAAAATCCTATAGCTATCTTGATGCTGTCTGGCATTTGATTTATTGTTCAGTAAATCAGCACACACCCAGAGGTTGGAACGTAGCAGGTCTGTTAAGAAAACTCAGATCAAGAGCTGTGATGTCTTGCAGCTCTGCCCCTCTCCAAAAAAAG